GTCCCAATTCCACCATGGACTAGGAGTACGGCCTCAGGCCAGTCACTGGGCCTCTCTGAGCCTCAGTTTCTTGCTTTGTAAAACAGAAATAACACCTGCAGCCACTACCTGTCTCACAGGGCTGTTATGAGGGGATAATCGGATGAAATCACGTCGGCAGAGCACATTGCAAGTTTTATATACATATGGAATGCTGTTACTACTGATGAGAACAGTGAAGACGCCCAGAGTGGGACTATTCCCAAGGTCACAGAGCCTGGACACCCAGGCACTGAAGGACTGTGTTCCTAAGTCATCCATTAAGTGCGCAAGAAGCAATTATGAAAATTTACTACAGAACAGGCTCTGTGCTCTGCTCCAGAAATGAGTCCAAAAAGCCCCCTTCCTTCAAAGCATTTACATGGGGGGAGTGGGGGGGAGATATGCAACATGTCACAGATAAACCCACATATGGCAGGTAAGTGAAGAGGGGGAAGTGTGTAACTGGAAAGGCTTCAAAAGCCTCAGGGAGAAAGTTGCACACGAACTGAGAGGTGAGGAAGGAGATCAGGGACAGATGTGGGAGAGGGGCTCCCATACCTAGGGAACAGCAAGTGGGCTAGTTTGGCAGAAAAGGTAGCCTTTTTGGTAGGAGTGTGGAAAGGAATGAGCATTTATTAAGTTCCTACTGTAGACAAGGCACTATGCCAAGTACTTTATAAATATTTGCCTTTGATCTTCACAACATTACCAGAAGGTATTATTATCATCTCCATTTTACAGCTAAGGAAACTGAGGCAGAAAAAAGATAGGTGACTTGTCCAGAGTCACCCAGCTAGTATCTGATTCTGGATTTGAACTCAGGTCTTCCTGACTGTAAGCCCAGAGCTCTATCCACCAAGCCACCCAACTATAATAAGTCCACAAAGAGAGGCAGGAGCTACATTGTGAAAGACTTTAAATGCTGGACAGCAGTCTGAGGCCAATAGGGAACCACTGATTCTTCTTAAGCAGGGAATGGCATGGTCAGAGCCATGTTCTTGTAAAATCAAGTCAGTAGCTATGTGGAGGATGGATTGGAGTAAAGGGAAACTAGAGGACCAATTAGCCAGTCAGTCAACAAGCCTTTATTAAGTGCTTACTCTATGCCAGGCACCGTGCTAAGGTGCTGGAGATATGAAGAAACACAAAAACATAGTGCCTGCCCTCAGGGTGCATACACTCTAACAGAGAAAACAACCTACCACTAACTAATACATATAAGATACATACGAAATAAATGACAGGCAATCAGAGAGGGAAGGTTAATGAAGTAATAGCAGTAATTATAGGCAATAAGGGTCTGAACTAAGGTGCGGGCTGTGGGAATGATCAGAAGAGATTTAAGAGATGCTATGACGAGGCCTAGCAACAGACGGGAGATGGGGGATGAGAGGAAAGAATCCCGGATGCTTCCATGGATGGAACCAGGGGGACTGGAAGAATGAATGATGGGGCCTTTGCCAAAAACAGAAAAGTGTGTGGGGGGGGAGTTTTAAAGGAAATTAAGAGCAGTTTTAGATACAGTGAGCTTAAGATAATATTTGTAAAGTACTTAGCACAATGTAGGCACTTAATAAAGATTGTTCATTTGGGTGGAGATGTCCAACAGGCAGTCGGTAAGGCTGGACTGAAACTCCGGCAAAACTCTGGGCGGCATTTCTGGAGATCTCAATGAACCCACGGCAGTCTCTTTTCCCCTCTGAACCTCAGTTTCCTCATCTCTACTAAGAGGAAGTTAGACTTGAGAATCTATGGAATGGAAACTCTGATTAGGAGGAGATACAATGTGGAGCCCTAAAAACACTGACCTTTGCCCTAAGGGAAGGGGGAGGGAGGTAGGAGAAACCAGCCTGGAATTTCCTCTACAAAGAAATCCCTCCATGGACCCAAAGGGAAGCTATGTAATTGGGGAGGGGGAGGGGGTGTAAGGGAGGGTCTTTCTGCTCCCTTATCAAGGCAAGGTCAAAAGTCAAGGAGAACAAGCTGGAATAAAGAGGGCTTCATCCAGGCCAGCTCTAGAGACGAGCCCAAAAAGAGGTGAGTCAGTGAAAGGAGTTGGTCAGCAGCTAAGAAAGAGCAGGCCCAGCTCCATTCCCATTTCTGGGAGCCCACAGGGGCCTTCTCTGATCATGGGCTTTTCAGACTCCTTGTAGCTCTGCCCTCTGGATGGTTATTTTAAATCCCTCTGCATGCATGCATCTTTCCCTGTAATGACCAACGGTCTTTAAAAAATCCTTAAACAGGGAGGTTTGCTATTTCGTTCAATACCAATGTTCAACAAACACTTATTTAAAATCTGCTATATGCAAAAGTCCTGTGCGTGGCACAGATATTCATTAAATCATTCAATTCAATTCAATTCAGTCATTCAGCAAATATTTTATGAAGCCCTCCCTGTACAAAGCCCTATGCCTAACATGCAAATCCATTCAATTCATTTATTCATTCATTCATTCAATATATTTTATTAAAGCCCATCCTCTGCAAAGCTCCATGCCTGCTACACAGATCCAGTCAATCATTCATTCATTCAACATAGTTTATTAAAGGCTACCCTATACAAAGCCCTATGCCTGCTACACAGATACAGTCAATCATTCATTCATTCAACATATTTTATTAAAGCCCATCCTATGCAAAGCTCCATGCCTGCTACACAGATACAATCAATCATTCATTCAACAGATATTGTATTAAGGCCTTCCCTTGCAAAGCCCTGTGCACAAAGATTCATTCATTCATCCATTTATTTACCTGCCCAACAAATATTTATTAAATCCTGCCATGTGCAAAGTCCGGTGATGGGCAGAAAGAATCACCCATTCAACAAACATTTATTAAATGCCTACAATGCGCCGAAAGCTCCGCTAAGTGCTGGCCTAGGTGAAGAGGAAAAAGGGAAGAAATAAAACATTTAGATAAAAGACAAGGTACCTGCCCTCATGAAGCTTACAGTCCAATGGGATAAGCCACCAACAGCAAAAACACACCTATCTCTGCTATGTATTGACTCTGTGACTTTGGATAAGTCACTTCCCTCCTCTGGAGAGGTGCCTCAGTTTACTCATCTATGAAAATTTAGGGACTGGGCTCTATGACTGACGAAGGGCGCCTCCAGGTCTAGAGTCTATGATCCCAGGTGGTCTCCACTGAGCCGTCATCAAATAACCAGGATGCTTCTTCTGATAGGAAGAAGTTCCTGTCCCCACCCAAAACAAACACCCCTTAGAAAGGAAGGGAGAAAGGAAGAATAATCCGAGCTCAAGGTTTATGATGTGAGAAGAAGTGGAAAACCGCACCTCCTTCCCTTCCCGACAGAGGCAGGGGACTATGGATCGTGGAATGGCGCCCCTTATCATGAAGGGTCAAAGGTCGTGGCTGGTTCTGCTGAACTGCCTTTCCCCCCTCTTCCTAGAAACAGTATTTTAAGAAATGAATGTGATGTGAGGACAAAAGTTATAATCCCCCCCCAAAAAAAGAAGATAAAACTAAAAACAAAAACTCCATGAGGAAAGTATTGTTGGCCCCATTTGACAGATGAGGAAACTGAGGCAACCAGGGTGGAGTGACTTGCCCAGGGTCACACAGCTAGAGTGTATTTGAGCCCTAGTCTTTCTGACTCCAGGGCCAGCACCACCCGGCACTCCCTAGTTGCCTCTTGGTCTTCTCAGCCTTCTCTAAACCAGAATCGGATTCTTAGGGAAGAAACTTTGGTTTCTGGCCCTTGCCCTACTCCCAACAATCCCAGCAACCACGGGATTCATGACTCTGTCCTTCCTCCTACAACCGCAGATCTCAGAGTTGGAAAGGACCTGGGAGGCTCTGCATCCCAACCCTATCAGAGAGTCCCCTCATGCCCACCCCACAGCAGGGCTAACAAGGGTCATTCGGATTCTGCGAGGAGACCGCTAAGGCCGGAGATCTCACTATCTCTAGGACAGTCCGTGCCAAGTCCGATGGAACAGCTCTAATAGTTTAAAAGGTTGGGGAGAGGGGTCCTTCCATGAAGCCAAAATCTTCCTCTCTGCTACTTCCACCCATTGTTCCTAGCCGGCCCTAGGAAGCCAATCCAAACAAGCCTAATCCCTCCCACTTGACAGCCCTCTATATGCTTGAAGATAAGAGATTAAAATAATAACGGCAGGTATTTATAGAGTATGTGAAGTCTACCCAAGTACTTTACATATATTATCATCTGATCCTCATAACAACCCTGGGAGAGAAGATGCTACCATTATCCCCATTTCACAGATGAGGAAACTGAGGGTGAAAGAGATTAAGCCATTTGCCCCAAGCCACAAAGTCAACAAGCGTCTAAGACAGGATTTGAACTCAGCTCTTCCCAACTCCAAGTCCAGCATCGTATCCACTAGACCAAAGATCTCCCTTTTGTGGCCTCATCTCCAACCTCCTCATCCTGCTACTCACCCTTATCTAAGTACACTCTAGATCTCGTCACTCCCCTTCATGCACAAGCCTCAGGACCACCAGCTCTGTCGACAACTCCACCCGGGCATTTTCCCCATGCTCAGATGTCTCCCCATGGCACCAACTGTCTGCATCTGAAATCTCACACTGGAATTTTTCCTCATCGCTCTATGATCACTATTTCACCAGAACCTTCACAACCACCCCGTGGGGTCAGCAAAACCCATTTTCCATATGCTCAACCTAACACAAAAAGACATTCCTCGGAACGCACCAAGTATTCCAGCCACCAAAACCACAACCCACATGTTCCAACTCCAGGTTCCAGGCCTTCTCCACTACAGTGCACAAAACGCGGCATTCTGCATTTATCTCTCAACAAAATAAATAGGCTTTTAAAGCCCAATACCTACAGCTGCATGACCAGGCTCTGCAACTCAACCAGTCACCCCCAGACTGATACGGCGGCGACCTCCTGACATCACCAATCAACAAAATCACGAGGAAATATCAACACTTCCCAATGGCCCATAAATCAAAAGATCAATTACCTTTTTGATACGGCCACTCCGGGTCCCTGCAAAGACCACCGTGTGGCCCTGGTAGTCATAGGCAGCCACTGACGTCATGCCATCTTCCTTGTCCACAAAGAGTGGTGTGCCCTCAATGGTCACAGTACCACCCAGAGGCTGGTTAAAGTCTTGCCCACAGAAATCATCATCAATCTGCAAAGGCTATGGAAAAAAAAGAAAAGAGGGAGAATTAGAGGGAGCGCATTTGTACAGAGCACTATGGATGTGGATGGTCCTCCAGGATTGGGGCAGGGAAAGGGCTTTCCCAAACTTACTCAGTTATGGGTGCAGGTTTCTTTGATAGACCCAACAGAGAACAGTATTTGCTAACCCATCATCCCAATCAGATTCAATGAACCTGAATATTTTCCCTGCCCTCCAAAATACAGCATACCTTCTACTCGTCATACAACCATAGGAAGGGCAGCTAAAAATATTTGGTATGTATGTGACATGACGAAAGTGATTTGTAAACTTTAAAGGGCTAAAATCACCATGAGCTGCTCTTACTGTGGAAAAGTCCAGAGCTGACCAAGTGGGACAAAGTCTGGGTTATATATTACTAAGATCTTAGGAGCACAGGTAGCATTTCCATCACTGCTGTTAATAAACAAAAAGCAAGGGCTTCAGAAGGAAAAGGCAAATGTAAGGAGTAAAAAGTTAGAAATAGACATATGCAAAGACATACACATAAGACATAGACATAGACACAGAAACATAGACACTGACATTGACACAGACATGGACATAGACATATAAACACATACACAGACATTAACACAGACATAAAGACATAGAAACAGAGACGCAGACTTATAGACATACAGATAAATACAGATGTAGGTATATGTGTTTGTGATATGTATGTGTATATATGTATGTGTACCTGTCACTCCATTAGAATCTAAGCTCTTTGAAAAGTAGGAATTTGTTCATTATTTGTATTTCTATCCTTAGTGCCCAGCACTATGCCTGGCATATAGGAGACACTTAATAAATGAATGTTAATTGGTTAAGAAGAGTGTCAAGGCTTAGCTCTTTTGAGCAATGCAATGATATAAGACAATTCCAAAAGACTCATGATGGAAAATGCTGTCCATATCCAGAGAAGGAACTATGGATTCTAAATGCAGATAGAAGCATACTATTTTCTCTTGTTGTTTTTTGTTTTTTCTCTCTCATGGTTTTTCCCTTTTGTTCTGATTCTTCTTTCACAACATGACTGATGTGGAAATATGTTTAATATGATCATACATGTATAGCCTATATCAGATTGCATGCCATCTTGGGGAGAGGGAAATGGAAGTGAAGGGAAATTTTAGAACTCAAAATCTTATAAAAGCAAATGTTGAAAATAAATATATTTTTAAAAATAAAATAAAAAGAAGAGTGTCAAGGAATAAAACTTAGATTTCTGGACCACAGCTTAAAATACAGAAATCATGGTCAGGGATGGAGTGCACCTAACAAGGGCTGGTAACAATGTCTTTGCTCAGTGTTTTGCATACCTAATCAATGCATGCTAAACTGCTTGGAGAGGGGAGAAAGGGAAAGTTTCCTGATTGTTCTATCCTAACAACTAAAATTACTTCTTGTTGATGACAAAGCAGGTCAATAAGATAAGTTTGCCTTGTTGCTTCTTTGACCTTTTGAAGGATGAAATTATCTTTACAGTGTAACAAATACGTTGTATCAAATATGCCCAAAAAAATCTGATACCTAACATATATAGGTAATTAACACATACATATTTGCCCAAGAGTCATTGCCCCAATAGGTCCTATGATCAAGGGAAGATGGGAAGAAATGCAAATTATAAACCACATGAAAAAAAGGCTCTAATTCACTAATAGTAAGAGAAAACAAATTAAAACAACCCTGGAGTTTTACTTCACAGCCACCAAATTGGCCAAGAAAATTTTGGAAGGATTTTAAACTGTGATTTCATTGGTGAAGGGGCCTCCCAATAAGGAAACTCTCTCTTGACACAAAGGTAATCAGAGTTAGAATATCTTGTAACTGAGGAATGGCTGAACAAATTGTGGTATATGGTGTAACATTACTGAACTGTAAGATATGATGAATATGAGGACTTCAGAGAAACACAAGAAGATTGGTATTAACTGACACAGAACAAAGAAAGCAAAACAAAATACACAATGGCCAGAACACTGTAAATGAAGACAACACTAAAATTCAGCTTGTCAGATTCATTGTATTTACCAGCACTGGCCCCAGAGAACAGATGATGAAACGCATTTTCCCATCCTCCCAGTAGAAATGAGGTGGACCGCTGGGACAGGGCGCTGTATGAGTTGTTGGATGAGGTTGTTTTGTTGGTCCGTTTACAGGGAAGGGTTCTATGGGGTAAGATATACTGGGAAATGACGATGCATAAAAAAAAAAAAAACCAGAAGGAATAAATAAAATTTTTTAAAGTGACCTTAAACTACAAAGAAAAGGAGAGGGGGAAAAAAAAACCCTGCCTATACATCACTCACTCAAAATCACAGGTAGGTACGTTATAGGAGAATTAATGGTAGAGATAACCAGAAATTCAATGGAAACAAATTCCAAGAAAGGAGCCAGGCACAAAGCAGATGGCTATATACAAAAGCATCCAATGTGGGCATAAGCTGGGTGGATATAAGAAATTATAAAGCGCAAATTTAGCACCACAGGCGCTAATACTAGATGATATCACCCAATAATAGGTGATAGGATTCACAACTAGAATTGGGCTCTGGAAGGGTATACTGTGTTCAAAAGAAATTAGACAAGTAAAAGGGGGATGGAGTAACACTCTACCTTAAGAAGATATATTTGGGGAAGGGGGGGATCAGGAACCAGAGGGAGGAAGCATAGAGGGAGCACTTGGGTGAAAATCAACTGAGTTAGAAACTAGAGCACAACACTGTACTACAGACCACCTGTACAGAAAGACTTAATAGATGAGTAGTTCAGGAAATTGCTATAAACCCAACACAGGGCTGGTCACATGGCACAAAAGTATGTTAAGTGTAGAGATGGACAATTTCCATTGGCCAGACATCTGCTGGCTCCCTCGAGATCGCTCGTTCTCTCTCTCTCTCTCTCTCTCTCCCTCCATCTCTGTCTCTCTTTCTGCCCCAAGGAAGAGACACAAATAACAATTCCTTCATTTATTATTGTAACAGGATTGCATCAGCCAAGCACTCCGCACATGGTCCTAGGGACGGGGCTCATTGGTCAGTTCCCTCTTACACTGTAAAGATAATTTCATCCTTCCAAAGGTAAAAGAAGCAATAAGGCAAACTTATTTTATGGACCTGGTTTGTCACCAACAAGATGTAATTTTAGTTGCTAGGATAGAACAATCAAGAAGGATTTATTAAGCACCTACTACTAGAGCAGGTAGACAACTGGATACAAAGACAAATATGGGAAAAAAATCCCTCAAGGAGAGATCCATGCCCTCAAGGAGCTTGCTTACATTGCTTTGAGGGAGACAAAATTGTATATAAATAAGTATATACCAAAAAACACGAAGCAAAGGAGGGATTCAGGCCTGGACTCTGCCAGAACAAAGATTCTTCATCTTTTCACATGTCCTGGACTCCTATGACAGCCTGGTGAAGTTTCTAAATGCATAAAATACAATATACAGTTACAAAGGAAACTAAAGGTGAATGATAATAAAGATACAATTTTTTTCTTATCCAAATTCATGTTATTGTTGCTGTTCAGTCATTTCAGTTATGACCAACTCTTAGTGACCCCATTTGGGGTTTTCTCAGCAAAGATACTGGAGTGGTTTGCCATTTCCTTCTCCAGCTCATTTTCCAGATGAGGAAACTGAGGCAGAGGTTAAGTGACTTGGCCAGGGAACACAGCTAGTAAGTGTCTGAGGCCGGATTTGAACTCAGGTCTTCCTGACTCCAGGCCCGGCACTCTATCCACTGCACCACCCTAGCGGCCCTCCAAACTCATGGACCCTATGAAATCTATCCATGGACCTCAGCTAAGCACCTGTGACATTTAAAATGTCACTTCATATGATGGCAACTTTGGGGGAAGAAAGCACTCTATCTTGATACAGTCGGGATAGGAAAGTGAGGAATAATGTGATCTATACCCCAGACTTAGGGAGAAGATTTCAAGGTAGCTTCCCAAAAACTAAGAACTTGCAGGGAAAATCAGCCCAAAAAGGAAGGGAAGCTTTCAAGACAGAAATCCTGAAGAGACATGATTCCAACCAAGTAGAAAAGAAAAGGGAGAGGGGGTGTCTACAGAGACCAATCCAGATAACTCACCAATTAACTTAAGATTGTCGAAAGACATAGCAGAATTGGAAGCAAACACTGGTAACAGAAAGCTCAAGTCAATTTAAAAATCACCTTCACAAATACTAAATTCATCCCAGTTTATCTGAAAAAAGCTTGCAAGATCAATGAGGCAACAGTCTGACACAGGATTCAACCTCAAGCCTTCTGCTGTGTGAACAGAAAAAAAAAATCACCCTAATATAATTTATTAAGCACTGATTAAACACCTTCCTTCAAGTCTTTTTTTTTTTTTTTGACTAGGCACTGGGGTTAAGTGACTTGCCCAAGGTCACACAGCTAGTATCAAGCGTCTGGGGTCAGATTTTGAACTCAGGTCCTCCTGACTCCAGGGTCAGTACTCTATCCACTGCGCCACCTAGCTGCCCCTCAAGTCTTAACTCAAGGCCCACCTTCTACAACAAGCCTTCCTAGTCCTTTTTAATCATAGTTCCTTCCTTGAGGGCAGGAACACGTTAATTAAGTGACTTGCCCAATTTTCTTCCAAGTCTGAGATTCTAGGATTTGAAGATAATAGTAACAATAATTCACATTTCTACAACTCTTCCCAGTTTATAAACCCCCTTTCTCATCGCAACCCAGTAGGAGAAACAGTGCCAATGTCATCATCCCCATTTTAGAGATGAGGAAATCATAGGTCCATGAAATTGTGTTTCCTCTCCAACTACTGTATTTGGCTACTCTGTACTTATTCCCTTTATTATTTGTTTTGCAAAAACATCTATGTCTAAGTGCTTGTAATTCCCCCCATTGGAATAGGGGTAAGCTCCTTGAAGGTCCAGACTGTTTCATTCCTCAGTTCTCACCTGCCCACTCACCCATCATCCATCCACCACCACC